AAATTTGATAGCCAGCACACCAGTCACATTTGACGTAGCGCCGACATAACACCAGCACATATATATATATATATATATATATATATATATATATATATATATATATATATATATATATATATATATATATATATATATATATATACATATATATACATATATATATATATATATATATATATATTATATATATATATATATATATATATATATATATATATATATATATATATATATATATTCTGTTTTTACTTTACTACCCAATCAGTTGTGCAAGCATGACATGCCCAACAGCAACCCTGTGCACAGTCGTGAAGCCCCCCCTGCACGCGTAATTCAGAAGCGGGTAAGGAATTCGCATTGCGCCCGCTTACCAGCCTCTGCCGCAATACGCGGTACCCCTCTTTTTACGACGAAATGTCGACGGGGCGCTGAGTAGTTAAAGGCTTAAACTTCTTAAAAAAGCTCTTTTTGCCCCACACCGAACCGCCAGAGCCAAGAGGCGCCGTCTGGTCGGGAAGAATGTGTTAGTGAAAGGAAGCATACACAGACAGCAGACATCAGAAAGGTGAAAGGGAGAAAGGGGAGAGAGATGGAGGGGAAGTGGAAGGAAGAGTGGAAGGGGGCGCCCGGGGGGAGTTCACCTTATATTCTGTTTTTCTCTTTTTTTCTTTTTTTTCTTTTCTTTGTTTTTTTGTCTTTTTTCCCTCTTTCCTTCTGATTTGAGATTGTATAAAACCAGTGCACCAACAAACTTTAATGTCAATCCTGATGAAGGCCAGACTCTAGGCCGAAACGTCGAAATAAACCACGTTGTGACCGCTCATAGAGGATATACTTGACTATATATATATATATATATATATATATATATATATATATATATATATATATATATATATATATATATATATATATATATATATATATATATAATATATATATATATATATATATATATATATATATATATATATATATATATATATATATATATATATATATATATATATATATATATATATATATATATATATATATATATATATATATATATATATATATATATATATATATATATGTGGCCCGTGTACTGGGCCATGTCAGAGCACGTTAATGAACACCAGATAGTTGAAATTTCCGGAGCCACCCACTACGGCGTCTAATAATAATATTACTGTGTTAGGTCGCAAAACCCCCATAATATTATTGTTATACTACTATTTGCCTTCGTCAGATCAACGCGGCCTTAACTGAGCGCATTTTCTGAACACTTTTTTTTTTTGTCATTTTAACTAACCATGTGCGTTCCACGCCGTTCGTGGGTATATGAACTGTGAGTGACCTGTGGAGCACACCCGCATGCCGCGGCGCGTGCTATGCGGATATGTGCCACAAGGGACCGAAAGAAAGGGTATCATGACGCATACATTATTTTTGGAGAAAAGTGTAAACTTAAGGGCTTGTTTTCTTTGTTAGACACAATGGTAATGAGACCTAACTAACAATAATGCTAAGTAAAATACAGGGGATGTTAATGCAAATGTTAAGAAAGAAAAGTGGACGACAAGATAACTTGCCACCGACAGGATCTGAACATGTCCATCGTACATGGTGAGCTGTACATGGTACATGGTAAGCTGTACATGGTAATGCGGAAAGGTGATATAGTGCGAACAAGCTTCTCAAATGACGGCAAAGTAAAAAGAATGAAGTTTCCTGTGATGAAGTACTACTGGTCGTGTTGATTTTGATCATTGCCAACAACTTTTCTGGCGAATTGGACAGAAAAGTTGCGAGCCAGTTGTCCGAGGTTTTTCGCGTTTCCCTTTCATTTCCCAGAAAGTTATGATGGGAAAATTTTGTTAGTTCCATGTCTTTCGTGGAGTATTCAAGCGTGCGATAAATCTATTCCTCTTCGTTTTCTTGTTTTACATGTTTTTGTGAGCTACAATGTTTAAAAATAGCCTGCATGCCAATGTAATGCGAATCTTTCCACATTTTTTTTCCAATGCCCAGTGGGAAAAAAAATAATGCGGCAGCCTCTCAGAACAAGAGAAGCATTTGAAGGACAATAGAGAAATATCTGAGAAAATATTACTGCGGCCAGCCAAAAACTGAAACGAGAAATTGAAATAAACAGGGATTTACATACTTGTGCTGAATGTAAAGAAGTTTTATACGCAAATGGGCAAATAGTTTTTTTGCACATTTAGCTGGTATAACTGTTTTCACTTGTTACAATACGCCATCTGTATTCTAGGACTAATAATGCAGTGTAGTTGATATAGCGTGGCATTGTGTGTGAAGCTGAGCAAGTCGTTACAACAGAGTGCATGAATTTTCATTGAAAAAAACACCGAAACGAACAGACAGACATTGCGAATAAATTAAATCAAATGCCTAAAATGAAGAAAATTCGTTCTTTATCTCGGTTTACTTACATAAGGTGAAGTATTAGTAATAAATATCTGGCTGATGAGTTGTGACCGCTTTTTCAGATATCACGTTTAGAGGTTTCAACTATTATGACAAGCTCCACAGAATCTGAAACAGTGTGTCTGCTGAGTAGCTGTTTTTGTTGTATTGAGCAGTCGTGACATGCACAACGCTGTCACAGCACCCCAAACATATATCGATCAGCTATCTTTCCTCGGTAGCATTAAACAACTGCAGCTGTGGCACTGTCAAGCACCAATAGTGCATAATACATAATATTCCTGCGTGCTGTTTTTTTTTTTTTTACGGCAAACTCAGGTGAGGAAAAAAATAAAGAATTTCCGCAAAAGTGCGTAATGGTACTATTCGTATTCGAAAACATTAGAGGGACATTCGGTTCGATTCGAACTTAGATTTCATTATTCGAATTTTATTCGAACACAAAGATTCGATGTTCACACACGCCTAATACTAGTGCAGTTTATAAGTCCTCTAGACGTGTTCCTGCGGTCTTCAGGATGTCATCTATCCATCTTGTGTGTATGAGCGGCCTATAGTTTTCTCTCCCCTAGCATATAATTTCCGCTCTCTTGAACAGGTAGCTCGCTCGACATGAGCAAAATAAGAAAGTCTTAGCGTATTTACCCTTGCTTTGAAAAAAAAAAAACATTCAGTCTTTATCTCTTTTATCACCAAAATACTAGTTAGCGTGGCAGTCTATTACATTCTCAAAACTCTACGCTGTGCATTGCTCACAAAATTTTAGTGGCTATCTCTCTTCGTTGATTACGCTCAACTGAGACAATCAGCGTAAAAATAAAACGTGTAAATCCGCGGGGGTTCTGCTTTGATGGTCTCCGACTTTGCTATGGAGGCGCAAACCGCTACTTGCCTTAAAAAAAAAAAAAAACGCCTATTCATTCAGCATGATACTTCTGTATCATTATGCAGGTTATATGAGCTTTTATTTTAACTCACTCGTTTTTTCGACTAAAATTAGTGCATGCTGACAAAAATACGACCTAGTATATAATTTGAGGCTTCGCCACGATGTCTTCTAGAAGTGTAAAGAAACCCGCTTTAAATTGTTTGTTTGCAAATGGGAACTCGTGCACACGTGGTTGGTGTGGTTATATTAAAGTCATTAGAAACAAAATTTTCAACTTTTCAGCGTCATTCGCCTTCCTCACTTCCTATCGGGGCACATGTCCTTATTCATTCATTCATTCACAACACTGAGGTCCTGAGGTCCTTGAAGACCGAGGCAGGCCGCGCCCACGTCGGCACCGTCTGGCCCAGCCTTATGGCGCCATCATGCACCCTCTGGACAGCCTGTGTCTTACCGTGATATGAGAAGCTTTGCACCATCCTCTGCCAATGAAGCCATTTATCATCGGGGTCGACAAGAGTAGAGGACAGCCCACCAGCATGTGTCGCATTTCAATGATGCCATCGCACGATTTCTTTAATGTGACTTTCAGGGTGAATTTTATTACCAATATACGCAGTGGGCTAAAATCTCGGTTAGCAGAAAACACAGTAAAACAAAATTTCGGCAGTTTTTTTTTTATTCAAGTACTAAGTATTATTTTCCTTTTAAGCATTTGCCATGAGATGTATACTTCGCAGAGGTGAAAAATCAATATGAGATGGTGCCTGTGTGGATTATTATGTTTTCAGTAAAATATTGCAGTGCGATAGTGGTGATAGATGGCGAAACAGATTTTCTATGGACACTGAGTGACAACATGACGGCGTATTTGCACGGTTCAGCATACAAGGATGCCTCCTGCATAAACAACCTCATGTAACCACCGAGTTAAAACAATGGTTCCACGTTTACGGATATGTGCGTTTAGCATTTCACTTAGTTTCCTTTGTTTTTTTTTTCTATAGTGAGGAATCTCAACATCTGTGTTTTCAAATCAGGCAAAATAAATATAGTTTATTGATACATCGAGTTGCTAAATGAGCTACTTTGCTTACTTCGCACTGTCAGGCTACACTTTTTTTTTTTCATTGCATGATACGCATATTGTAAAATGCTTCAGGTGCTCAAAGCCAATGAATTTTAAATTATCGACGCTAAGTGAGAACGCGACGATTAGCCAAAAAACTATCAACTATGCCAGTTAGTGACCTTAGAAAGAATTGTGACCTTAGATGTCCAGTACACGCTATTTCGTCTAAATCATCAAGCTATATCCTCATATGGTGAAGTAATAATGGACTCACAAAATAATCGCCTGCATTTCGACATTCTAGGTCAGCAGAAGCAGTGACTCCGTCATTTTTGTAGGTACTGAACCGCAAAAGCACATTCGCAAAGCCGTATTGCGGTTTCTATAGCACAGTAGCAGCGCGTGCGGTTCCATATGCCTCTTATGTAGATTGGTCTCCTTTGTGGGTCAGCTCAAGCATCGCCTCCGAGACTGCTATCCTCGTTGGAGAGCAGAATCGGGCCGCCTGCTCGAATGTCTTCAGCGTACCGAGGGATGGCGCCACGATCGCAAAGCCCTCAGTGAGGAGGAGGGAGGATGAATCAGGGCGGTCGACGACGCAAGGGGCGAGTAACGGGAAAGGAGAAACAGCGGTCGCGGGAGGCTGTTGAGTAGCGGTGTGGTTGTGTTGTCGGCGTCGTCGCGAGTCGGGTCTCTGTCTCGTTGTGCCATGCCACTTTTTCTGCACTGCATGCAGTAACGCGCGCGCCGCTGAGAGCCACGCCGTTCCAGGTGCAAGCGCGGAGCCGGACGAGCATCACGCAGCGGCCCTCACATGGGACAGGCGAGCCGATGGTTTCCTCCGCGCACGGTCGTCTGCTATCGCTCCGTGCCTGGGCGCCCGACGGAGAGGACGATGTACCGCCCTGCACCATCGTCGCTGTCCAGCATCTGCCGCCACCTCCGGCCGGAGAGAAGTCGGCCGCTGTCTCGAGATGCGCTCGGAACTGGCTACTTAAAGCGTTGACCACGATCGCTGTGCTCGGGGGACTCGTTCTCACACTACTCTGGGGCAAGTTGTACGTTCGCGAATGCCTCGTCTGGCTGGACAGCCAAGACAGCGAGACGGTGTGCCTCGTTTTCGTGCTCATGTACACCTTGGTGGCCTTCCCGCTTACCTGGGGCTACATCCTGCTCAACTTCGCGTGCGGCTACCACTTCGGTCTCGTCCTGGGCGTCGCGGTCACGGCCGCCGCCGCGTCCGTCGGCATCTCTGTGGCGCACACGGTGATGAAGCGCTTCTTCCTCGGCTTCATCATGGCCCGGCTGCTGTCCAGCGAGGTGGTCCGATCCACCTTGGCGTTGCTCGACACTGGCCACGCCTTCAAGGTGGTCATCATCTCTAGGCTCACACCCATCCCTTTCGGCCTGCAGAACGCGATGTTCGCGGTGAGTCTCTCCCCGCGCGCGCTACCACCGAGACCGAAACGAACCTAGTTGCGCGCCAAAGCTCGTCCTTCCTGCAGGCATATTGCGCAATAGTCTGACCGTCGACCTCGCGAGCAGTATGCCTGCACTGGATGAACGTTAGCGCGTCTTCCCCCCATTGACCGCTCTTGTCATATGTGGCTCCTTAGGTCTCCGCTTTGGTTCGACACGCGCAGTGTGTAACAAAGCAGACGGTAAAGCGTATTTCGAAAGCAACTTGAGTTTATGTCTGCAGTGACTTTCTCTAAATAAGTGTGAAGTGTGTGTCTAAAGACTGTGTAATCCGGTTGATGCGTGCAAAAAAAAAAAAAAAAAGAGGCCGGGACGATGAAAGGAGTGCCTTGGTTTGGTACTTTTGACGTGAATGTCTCTGATAAGCCCGAAGAGAACAAGATCGAAACATTACATTGAGTCGGCTGGACGCCAAATCGTAGACATCCAAGCACTACACTGACCGCAATTCGCTGCCACGAACCTTTCGCTATAGCGAACGACGCTTGTTTTGAAGGCCGCGTGCATGGTGCGCAACTGTTGGTTTGCCTGCGAAATCCATGTTTCATACGTTAAGCACGTATATTCAGAGGTTCAAGAGGCTAAACTATCACAAAAAGAACCCACGGCTCATTCAAGCATGAGTGAGGAAGCAAACGCAGAACACTGGATATTGCGTGAATGAGTGAAGAACACTCGATTGTAACTGTCAAAGTAAGATTTCTTCTCCCTACCTAAATAGCTGTCACTCTGACAGCAAGACAACCAAGCCCTAATATCGGGCTTTAAAGTTGTATTCCTCAAGCGCACTATTAACAAGCGTTAAATGCGGGCCGTCGCATCTCCTACTCATTATGGTGTGCTTTATGAATTAAATGTAGCGTAGAAGCTAGCATAATATTTGCTTGCACGGTTTGTGTAGTAACAGTCAGAACAGACGCGTTGATGTGTGTTTAAAATGCAGCAACGTGAGATGTAGTGCGGGGTTAACGTAAAATGCAGTAATAAAAGCATAGTATAATGAAGGTCATTGCTGTCCAGTACCATCTCGAAAAGTGGCGTCAAACTCCTAGTTTTTTCTTCTACCTCAATGCGTCAACATAAACAGGTTACTAACGGACAGTTCGGTAGCATTTATTGCTGGATGATTCGGTTAAATCAGCGTTCAACAAAATATTTTCTTAACCATGCAGTTGTGCCGTGATAACTTGCACATCAATAGGGAACACAACATATGACCATGCCTACTCGTAGGATTCCCTGCAGGGACAACAGAACGCGATTTCTAGAGATAAATGGTCGCTACGTCATCTTTAGAATCACCCCTTTTAGTCAGGCACAAAAAAGTAAGCAGAACGCCTAGCCTGCCAGACGCCGCAGTAACCTTATCCGACACATCGTTCCCCACATTACTTAGATACCAGGTTAACTGATTATGATTCACAGTCACCGCATAGAGTGCATGATTAGAATAGATATGCATTGTACCTTTTGGAAGTTGAATGATAACTCATGCATGGCACGCGTGCCTGGTGTACGCTTATTGCAGTTCAACCTTTTTCCCGTTTTTTTCTTCTTGGTGTTTTTTCTTTTTTTTTTTGAGATTGGATAACATTGTTCGAAATATACCGTATTGTGCGTGTACTTTTCTGCATAACTAAAAGATAAATGAAAGTCGGAGACAATACGAAGAAGGAAGCTTGTACAAAGTTTTTTCTTCTTGTTCTCAGCGTCCCTTCTTGAATTTGTGTTGTTAACAATAGAGAGTTTGCTGTGTTGGGCACCCATAGAGCTTTACATCGCCTTGGCTTTTTGCCTATAAGCACGCGTCAGGCGCACGCCACGTTTTGTGTTAGCGTTTTTTTTTCTTTTCCCGAAAATGGCGCACGCGCCTAAGAGATGCAATGTTTGGGTGCGTCATTTGTGTGTGTGTGTGTGTGTGTATAGATTGGAGCGCAAATGATCGGAGCGACGAACGGTGCGCTCTGGCAGCATCGTACATGCCGCAGCGCTTATATTAGCACTGCAGCACGTACGAAACAAATGAAGTTATTCTTCACGGCTCACAGTGAGCGCTATCACGCGGCAAGTCGATACTTCTGCCACGTCCCCAACACCCGCATCTGCGAGGCACTTGCATCGGATATGGGGCTGCCATTGGCTGCAGCATCGTACACGCCGCCGTCCAGCACGCTTGAAGGCTGGTCATGGGTTCCAGCTGCAACTCGGCACCCTGTTCCGTAAACACGGCCCTGTAGATACCGACACCGCATGTGCAGACGCGCTCGGGGGTTTCCGGCAGCTGCATGGTTCCGCAAGCAGCGCAGGCATGTGCCGTAACCGACACGCTCTATAGGAACAACGCTGTAAGAAGCATATTGCACGCAGCGCCCGTAACGCAAGGAGGGAAGTATCAAGCAAATATACAGCAGAATTTAATTCGTGGTCTGCGCGGGTTACGGCTCATATATGCCTCATGCTTGGTCACTCTTGTGTGCGCGCCCGTTTATGCTCGTCTATGCGTGGTATTGCAACGGCTGCAGTTCGCATCCCATTATAGGTTTGCATGTTGCACTTGAACCATTAGTTGACAGCCAGACCGACCTGATGGTTGTTCTTTCCTCAGTCTAATCTCTCCTCTATCTATCTAACACACACGCGCGCACGCACAAACACACACACATACATACATACATACATACATACATACATACATACATACATACATACATACATACATACATACATACATACATACATACATACATACATACATACATACATACATACATACAAACACCAGGTGGTCGAAATTTTCAGAGCTCTCCACTACGGCGTCTGTCATAATCATATCGTGGTTTCTGAACGTCAAACCCCACAAATCAATCAAAACATACCACCAAAGAGGCGGCACGTATAATGTATAGAAATCTTCGTACGTACCGTTTTCCTCTTGTGCTATATTCGTTCACTGAATTCATGACAACTTTCTTCTTGTTATACCCATACGTGATCGTGAGTTGCGCAGACCCATCTGGGCTATGTATAGAATACGGGCCACAGAGCAGCCGGGCTGGCGTTGCGCACGCAAAGCCAGACCGCGGGCCATCAAGCACGCGGCCGCGGCATTTTCTCGGACCATTCCGAGGTGCGACCGTCGGAGAAACGCGATGCTGGCCGAACTAATGAGCCCGTGTCGCGCTGCTCCTACATGTATTGTGCACGCCTTCGGTGTGTCCCTTCGCAGATATAATGGTGCGCGTGAGACAGAAAATATGTTATGTAGAAACATGCGGGATTATTATCATCAATATTATTACTGCCGGCAAATTAATTAGTAGGGATCATCACTTAATTGGAGGACCTTTGAACACCGTCCCCTCAATCCTTGGCTTTGCTTCCTAGTTGACAACTCAACCTAGGAAAGAAGCTCCTGTGTGCGGAACACCGGCACCGATGCCAACGCCGCGCTTTCTGCGAAACGACCTTTTCATACGATTTCAGACACGCATGGTGCTTGTTGGGCCAGGCGGGTATATATGATATATTTCGCTACTCGCAACTGACGCCGTTGTGTTGTGTGCAGCCCTTAATACAATTCTCACCCATACACGCCCTCAATTCACGTGTCAGTGCCGAGTTTTCATAATAATAATAATTACAATAATTACTGGTGGTTTATGTGCCCGAAGCGTGACATCGTATACGGGGTACGCTGTAGGGGAACACTTGATCAGTTTTGACAACCTGGCATTAGTTAAGGTCCATATACGTATATCACAGTGCACTGGTGTTCCTTAAATTTCGCCCCCTTCGAAATGTGGTCGCCGTGGCCAGGAATCGAACTCGCGCCCTAGAGTCAGCAGCGCGACAAGCGACACCACGGTGGGCTTGTGTAGCGGAGGGGACACCACGTCTTGTCTGTGCTTTACTGACCACCGGCCGCGTTGGCTCATGGTCCACACTTCGCGTTGCGCCGGTAAGCACGAGGTCGCATCTTCGATGCCAGCTGCCGGTCGGATGCGAAGTGCACAAACGCCTGCTTACACCGCGCACCATGGGTGCACGTCGAACAACACTGGGTTGTGGAAAATAATTCATGGCGTGCCTCGCAATCAGGTCATTGTTTCCGCGCTCACCGAAATGCCACAACTTAGTTTTGTTGTTGTTGTTGTTGTTGCTGTTGTTGTTGTTGTTGTTGTTGTTGTTGTTGTTGTTGTTGTTGTGCATTGGAGGTTATAGAGCTGATTTTTGTCAATATTATTAAATTGATAAGCTAACTAAGCTTTGCAGGAAATGGTGACCATAACGATATGCACAACTATCGTAGATTCGATCCCAGATATGCATAAGTGAACTGAATAAGTTTACTACTTAATGAGTTCCGGGGCTACGCTGTAGTTGGAGTAATCACTCGCGCAGCGCTGAAATGACGAACGTGGCAAGCCGCCCGTACACGTCGTACTCCGTCCACGCGAACTTCTGCCCTCTTGAGGAGGCACATATATCCACGGGTACTTAAGTCAGAGATGCGAGGACGGTCAAGACTTGCCGACTATACCGGTTATTGAGCAGTGTTTTCCGCAGTAGTCCTAGGGTTCTTATCGCGGAAGAAAAAAAAGACCAGGCGAGCAACGAGAACTGCTTGATCTGCAAAAAGACATCATGAAAAAACACGGTATACTACGGGCTGCCCTTTTTTTCTGTATTCACCTACCCTCTTGAGAAACCCACAGTGACCCTGCTCACCGATACGCTCATGGTTCCGCGCGGTACAATACATTTTCGTCTTCGGCATGTGAGCGTAGATAAAATGACTATAGTATAGGCCGACAATGCGAATGCTCCACATTCTACCCAAATGGCAGGAAAAGATCGGTACCCGTACGTTCATGGCGTTATACACTTAAGCGGAGAAAAGATACGCAGGCACGTACAAAAAGTACTCGCTTGTTTTGCTCACTGACATT